AATTTACAGTAATTTAAAAGAATGAGTTCAAATATTGAATTCAATAACACATGAATTTAAAAGAATTTGTGAAATACAATATTGAATAACAATGGAATTTAATAGAAAGCCTAATTCCTTCTAATTCCATTAAATTCCTTAATTGAATATCTCCCCCTTAGAATTTTTTAAAATTTTCAATAATTGTATTCCATAAAGGTATTCTGCAAATGTATCTTTCTGTTTTAATGAAATCTTCAGATGACAAAAAAAAGAAAAAAACACATTTGTGAGCTTTAAACCTATACTGTTTTTTTAGTACAGCTTTGTTTATAACCAACATATCGTTTCCTACATCAATTTTTCTTTTCTTTTCTTTTTTTACATATTTCGTTTGTTACTAGAAAATGAAATTTCACCTCCAACAAACACAATCTTAACTATTATTTGAGAAGCATATTTAATAAAAAAATCTGATGTGTCATCACCTTAGTAAAAGTTAGTGTAAATTAATGGTGACATGGAATTGTGATATGGCAAATTTCATAAAATAAACGAAATATTTTGATTGGTTGAATTATAATTAAATACATTATAAAATTATAACATAAATACACTACATTATAACACTAAAGTTAATAAATTTAAATAAATAGAAAATAATAATTACTTTGATTTCAGTTTATTTTTATATATATTCATAATAGATTGCATAAAATATGATTACAAAAATTTTACAACCAATATATATATTATATTTTTAAATAAAAAATAATAATAGGTTATCCAATAAGATAGTATATATACTATATATTAATAATGTTGAGAGTATGATATGTCATTATTTATATATAATTTTTTGATATTTTTATATTATTGTTTTCTGGAATTTACGTAGCTTACATTACCATTTCATTTTATCTCTTATCTTTTTCTTACATATATTCATAATAGATTGCATGAAATATGATTACGAAAATTTTACAACCAATATATATTTTATATTTTTAAATAAAAAATAATAATAGATTATCCAATAAGATAGTATATACACTATATATTAATAATGTTGAGAGTATGATATATCATTATTTGTATATAATTTTTTGATATTTTTATATTATTATTTTCTGGAATTTATGTAGTTTACATTATCATTTCATTTTATCTCTTATCCTTTTTTAACATAAATTAAAATTTTATATTATACTCATATACAGTCTCATTGTAGATCGAGAATGTGAGATCAGAAATAAAACGCAATATAGCCGGATGAACAAATAAATCATAAATAAGAAAAACAAATATGAATAAGAAGTAGAAATAAAAAAAACTCTACAGTTTTATTTTCCGTAACACTTTCAAACTTTGTTTTATGGAGTCATTTAAAAATCTCAAGAAAGAAGTTTTATAATAAACACATGTGTGGCTCAAATTTTATAATGAACACATGCGTGCAGACCAAGCATAAGAAATTTATTTTTTTCATCAAACCAATTCTTCAATATTGAACAAAGAGATGAGCAGAGAGCTAGCGGAGAATTTTATAAAATATGATTTCACAAATTTTATAACAAATATTTATTATAAATTTTATAAAGAAACATAAGAATAAAAAGTAGAAGTAAAAGTAAAAATGAATCTTTATGACTTTGATTTTCTGTAAAAATTTCAGGCTATGTCTTTGGTTTAAAGCATCTCCAACCCACCTTTACTTTTTAATCTTCTAATTTAGAGGAAAAATAACGGTTTTATTTTTTCTTCTATAATTGGAGGAAAAAGTAACAATCTTTCTTTTTTCATTAAAATAGAAATTGGTTGGAGAGAAATCCACCTATATTTTAGAAGAAAATTTTGATGAAGAGTTTAGCAGAGAGCTACCGAAGAATTTTATAAAATAAGAATTCACAAACTTTATAATAAAATTTTTATTATAATTTTTTTATTGAGAAACTATATATCATAAAATGCAAGAAATTTTGATTAGATACAAAACGATAGAAACGATTTTTGTGATTGTTGTTAAACGCCAAAAAACTGTATTGTGTAAAATCATAATGTTTGCGGAAAATATCAAAAAACCAACCAACACCTAAATATTATAGTTCACTTATTTATAACTCATACTTGCATGCATAAATATACATATTTTTATTAAAATATATATTACAAAACATATATTTTGTTATTTTCTTTCAACATATAAAAGTCATACTTTGATTCACAAATATACGTGTAGATATAAATATTAATTGTGCAAAAATTAAAGTTGCATGCAAACTTGTTGTGCATATATTTTTTTAACCTCGATTACAGTACATTTTTAATTTTAGTTATTAGTCAATTTATATTTATATAAAAATTTCTATATGTCCTAAGAGCGGTGAGGTGGTTTGTGCGGACCAACCATCTATCCACTTTTAGGATTAGTAGTGATGAAAAATCCATTTTTGTTTATTTAGCAATATGTCAAGAAAAAAATATATATTTAAAATATATATATATTGATAAGATTATATTGTGCAGAGGGAAAAAGAAATATAATATAGATAATATTCAAAATATATTATAAAATTTTAATTATTATTTAATATAACTTTTACATTTGCAATTATATATTGCTCTAAATGTCAGAAAGAAAAAACAAAAAGTTTTCAAAAGACACAAAACAATATAAAACGTTTGTGTGATTGTTATTAAAGACTAAAAATTGTATATGTATAAAAACATAACGCTTACATAATAAGTTTTTAAAAGACATAAAATAATATGAAATGTTTATGTAATTATTGTTAAACACTAAAAATAAATATTTATAAACACATAATGCTTACATAGGTATAAGAAATTAATCAATACTTAAATATTACAACTAATTATGTCTATAAAAAAATTATACTTACACATACATGCGAATCAACCATAAAAATTAAATAAATTATTATATATTTTAATATTTTCAGTTTATTTAGTTATCATATTTATTTATTTTTTATCTAATGAAGTATTTTAAAATCTGGGTTAATGTTTTTATCTTCAATTTTTATATTTAATATATAATATTAATCATATATTTAACATATAAAATATTTTATTGCCCACATACGATGCAGACCGATTATAGTACTTAATATATAAACAAAACAACATAAACATCACTAAACCTGAAATCCATGTTAGCTAGATCTTAGACAATTAGTCAATTATGGCAAATTATTTTGAATATTCATTGACGAATAGTATTTCAGATACTTTGGGCTAAATTAACATAACCAACAAATGAATGAAACAAAGAAAATATTCAAATATAAGGTATATAAGTGAAATATCATATATATAAGTGAATATTTACAGAATGGGATACAATCAAATAAGACTATCTATTATATATGTGCCACTCTTATTCGAACTCTGTTAAAAACTCACTGACAGATGTTTAAAGGAAGTGATCACCGCTTCGCAGGAAGTGAAAAACATAACACAAGTGGCTCTGGTCAACTACATAGTTGGCAAACGAAAAACATCTAAATTCGTGTGCCAATTGTTAAAAATACGATCTAGTTACATACATACATCTGAATGTGTGTATAACGTATAGTATATATTAAGATTCGAATGTAGCAAGAGAACCCATACCTAATAATGGACCACCATCCAAAAAGGCTAAATTATTATTTACCAACATAAATACACGGCGCATAATTAATGTTGGGACTTGACACTTTTAAAAGAGAATGAAAAAAAAAAATTATCGGAGAAAGAATAGCCAAAACGTTTTAGTCACAAAAAAACATATACTATCAACGAAATTAAATGGTTGTTGTTACTATTATCCAATTCTATTCTTGTTTCAGTCGCTTCACAGTGTTTAACTATCGGCTCGCTGTGCTTATTCCATTTATTTCTTTCATTTTGCACCGTTTATTATGGTGTCCCCATTCGAACTAGATACTTCCCAATAAAACTAATTTATGACCCTTTTCTTCATTATTTAGCAAGTTACTGCTAAACATGTGATCTACCTTTGGAAGAAAACAAAAAACTCAAATGCGAATCATAAGAAACTATATAAAGGAAAAAGACATGTATCAAGATACTCAAAAGTGTCAATAACATTCAGATATTTTCTCCATTTACAGATCTCTATAAAATTTGCCTTTAATTTATTATTCACCCATACAAAAACAAGCACATACATAAAGAGGGCCAACATTTTGCATTTAACTTAGATATTTAGTTCCACGAGATAAAAAGCAGAGAAGATATTTCTTCATTAGGTAAACCAAGATTGAAATTGGAATTCATTACTTGTATCAAGTTTCTTATTATACTCAGTAAATCTCTTGTTTAGTAAATTAGCTGTTTTCAGTTAATTTATGTATTGTACAATTTATATTTGAGAAACAAAAATAGATGGCAAACAAGAAAATGATTATTAAAAAGGTAATAATGGAAAATTTTGCATGTATCTAAACATTGGAATCAAACACATCATACATGTTACAGTATTCATTAATGCTTTTTGAATTACTCATCAAGTACCTTAGTTTTCTCTGTCACTATTCCTAATAAGAGACCACTTGTCTCTAATTACAAACTGTTTTACTTTTCTTTTTCACAACCTTTTTAAAGTTTTAAATACTGTTTCTACATTTTCTGAGGATTAAATTTTTAAAAATGTTGTTTCTACAGAAGCTGTAAATACTGTCAAGAATGGAGTATATTTTTGAAGATTTTTTTTGTTTTAAATGTTGTTTCTACTATCTCACTTTAAATTTATAGATATTGTTTATATATATTTATCGGAATTATAACGAAATAACTAAAAAAAATGAAAATGGGAATCCCATTAATGTCAATCCGAGAAGACAAAGGCAAGGTGGGCGCGTGACGACGCACACGCGCTGCAGCTGGCAACAGCCAATTTCCCTCTCATTCTTTCTTCTCCAAATCCGAAATCCCCAAATACATTTTCCCCTTTATATCTTCGCCTTCACCACTCTCTCTTCTTCTCACTCGCAATGTCGTCGCCGGCGATTAACCATTTCTTCACTCTCTCCTTTCTCTGCTTCTCCATCACTTCCTCTCTCGTTCTCGCTCAGAGCGAAAGCAAACCCACTGTTAACTCCTTAAATGTCGCCGCCGCGGAGATTGAGCTGGTTAACCCTAAGCTCCCGCCGCGGAGTCTCTCCCTCACATCGTCGAAGAAATTCGAAGGATCTTCTGATCTGATTCACCTCCGGTACCATATGGGACCGGTGCTATCTTCTTCCCCGATCAACATCTACGTTATCTGGTACGGACGGTGGTCTCGGCCGCACAAATCCCTAATCAGAGACTTCCTAAATTCAATCTCCGACGCTAAAGCCCCTTCTCCCTCCGTCGCCGAGTGGTGGCGCACCGCCTCGCTCTACACGGACCAAACCGGAGCTAACGTATCTCGTTCGGTTCTCATCGCCGGAGAATACTCCGACGCGAAGTACTCACACGGCCAGCACCTCACGCGCCTCTCGATCCAGGAGGTTATCGCTAGCGCGGCGAGATCCGCTTCGTTCCCGGTGGACCACAAGAACGGGATGTATCTCGTGCTGACGTCACACGACGTCACGATGCAGGACTTTTGCCGCGCCGTCTGTGGATTCCACTACTTCACCTTCCCGTCGATGGTTGGCTACACGATGCCGTACGCTTGGGTTGGTCAATCGGGAAAACAGTGCCCGGAGGTCTGTGCGTATCCGTTCGCCTTGCCGGGTTACATGGGTCACGGTGGTCCTGGTGCGCTCCGACCGCCGAACGGAGAGACTGGAGTCGATGGGATGGTGAGTGTGATTGGGCATGAACTGGCGGAAGTGGTTTCGAATCCGCTGATAAACGCGTGGTACGCCGGAGAAGATCCGACGGCGCCGACGGAGATTGGGGATTTGTGTGAGGGGTTGTACGGAACCGGCGGAGGAGGAGGGTATATTGGTCAAGTGATGCAGGACAGAGAAGGGAAGACGTTTAATATGAACGGTAAAGGAGGAAGGAAGTTTTTGGTTCAGTGGATATGGAACCCTAATTTGAAAGCTTGCGCTGGTCCTAACTCAGTGGACTAGACGAAGAAGAAAGGAGACGAAGACGAAGAAGAAGAGTGATGGTGACCTTTATGTTAATGATGGTGATTTGTGTTAATCACCATGATAATGATGAAATAACCCTTTTATTAGAGTTAGTTTGGTGTTCAGAATTAGGTTAGTAGTGTAACATTATTTATTTCTCCTCATAGTTATTTCTTTTACGATATATTTCAAAGATTGCTTATACTGCTTTTGTGGATTCAAATGCTTTTACTAGTGGCACCACCAATGTTCGGAACTTTTATTTACAGACTACTTCGGGAAGCGAGAAGTTTGAATTTGAAATCTTTTGATATTTTCTATGCCATTATTTAATAGGAATCGGTTTCAATAAAGAGATGCAAGTGTACGATAACAATAACTTTGCTGAAAATAAAAGGTTCGTTGGATTGCGAACTGACATGATTCGGATAAACGAATCTTAAAATTCTTAGTACAAGGTAAGATTCTTAATTAGTCCTTTAATTGCAATTAGATTTTACTTGTCGGAAAATGTTGCAGGCATTCATGCGTTCAACCTTTACATGTATTGATTTAATTTTTTCTAATTTTAGTAATCTTTTGTATGAATTTTTTTTGTCTCGCACTAAATACGGACGGTCACAAAAACTTAATGGTATTAACAAAATAATTTCAGAACCATCACTATTGTTATACGAGGCCCTGACTCTCCTACCAATCAAACATCTAAAACTAATGTTAGTGTGTGTTCCCAAATGTTGGCATGTAATAATAAAGGCAAGGGAAAAAGACTTTAAAGACTTGCGCGAGTGGTAGAGACAATTGAGAGAAGGTGTTTTGTGAACAACAGCTAAGAAAAGGGACCCAATTTGAAACTACAATCATTACCTATTGTCTATGGAAACTGCATTTATTACCTCAAACTTTTTTTCTTGACAATTTTCACCTCCCTAACTATGTATTTCATAAAAAAATTCAACATAGTTTCACTGTAGAAAGTTGATATTTTCAGCAATTCAAAGTTGAAATGTTTAACATTCGTAGAATTTGTGCCAAAGTCCGTAGAATCTGTCCTTTGCAATGGTAATGGTTGTAGTTACATATTTTTATGGTCCTTACATCTTTTTTTTTTCTTTTAAGAAAAAAGATACATAACCGGTTTAGATCCTAACTGAAACCCCTTACTCAAGGAACTTGGCTATAAATATACACATGAGTCACCTGACATACTTCTTTCTTTTCACTCCAATACACACTACAGACCATCAAAATATAACCTACTATACGGTATTTAAGACCACCACCTTGAAAATGGTTTTGATATGGAAGGTTCGTTTTACACTTTTACTTATCCATCCATACATACAAAGTTACAAACACAAGTTTTTATTCATTTCTTTTTATTTACGTTTCCTCACCTGCTTTTATTCAAAATAAATAGGCAGTTAAAGAATCACATGAACGCTCACTTCGTGATGGTTGATGGAATGTCCAAGCTAATGACTGACAGTGGTAATCAATCGCATTTCCATGTTTCTGGTGTCCAATAATGAGTCATACGATCTGGTGCCCCTAATTAAGCACCAAGATTCGACACGTCGTTTTTCATTTTGGTTTTAGGTCTCATCGCTTCTGACCTTTTTAAAGCATTAAGAATGTGTCATAGTTAGTGTTTTTTTTGCTCTTCTGTTCCACACCACTCTCTTCTTTAACTGGTGGTTTGTGTTTGGTTTGGCCTCACTCTTTGGTTTCACCCTCATTATAGGATTTCGTTGTGGAGGTATCTACTAGGTTTTATCTATTTCCTTTTTAGATTTGGGGTTGGCTTCTAGACGAGGAGGTGAGCAGTTTTTGTCAGTAGGTCCTAGAGGCTGGTTGGCGAGTTTTAATATATAAGAGTTGGTGGTCTCCTTTGACATTTTCCCTCATGGTGTTTCAAGGATGTTTTCTTGAGCTTTTGTCGGTGCAATTTTCATTGGTTTTGTGGAGTTTTGGTGTTTGTAGTAGTTTGTGATGCTACTGGTGGGTTGATTGTGGGCTCTTTTCTGCTGTTGCCATTGTTGTTGCTACTTCAAGTTTGAAGTAGTTCTCTCTATTTTGGTTCTGCCTAAGTTTGGTCGTTGGTTCTTAGCTCAGCTTCGGTATTTCTTATTTGTATAGAAAAGTTTGTGGTTGATACTTGTTAATCGGTCTTACTTTTAGTACTAATGGTTCATTTGTTAATGTATCTCTTGTTAGTATCGAATTTTATGTGTGTTTTTTTTTAGGTTTTGTATTCGGATAGTTCTCGTTAATCCTCATAAAACCTCCAACAGCCATAAGATTAAGGCACCGTCATCATTTAAACATCTATCATTTATTTTGTGTATATTCTTTCTTGTTATAGTCATCTAGAATGTTGGTGTATGTCCTGAGTGGAGCCTCTAAAAAATCTCAGTTCGTTGAATCATTTGTATACACAACTTTGATTCAATCAAATATAAAGTTAATCTCTTTTAAACTCTTATGGATGGTTGTCCTTCTCATTTTTCTAAGTACTTGGATGGATACATCTTAGTTAGTAGACGTCGAGTCTCTGTATTTGTGTGAAATCACTTAAACTTTAACTTGTACAAAGACTTTTCGCATTTTTGTATGGCGATATTCAAGCCATCAAACTTATCACTGTTGATATCCATTTACATCGGTGGAACCCGAGTTGTATCATTATTCAATTAAAATTTATGGTTATTTAATATATGAATACTCTATTTATATATATATATATCATTTACATATTAATTGAGAAGGTAGTTTAATGAAAATTGTTGATTTGTTTTAATTTGATTGGTTAATATGTTTAGTGTGGACAATTTTAATGTGACATGGAAATGATGATGTGTAATGATGATGTAATTGTGACATGTCAATTTTAGTAGATATGGCTTGTGACATGATATTATTTAATTTATAAATAAAATTTTATGTTAAAATTTTGATAAAAAAATGTAAGTACTCAATTTTTTGAAAAAACTGATAAAATTATAATTTTTTCAAATAGATTTGAAATCATATTTCAACACAAAAAATTGTCAGAAAAAATTACGGATTTCAAAATATGTAGCGGAAAATTTGTGGCAATATATTTAGACAGAAATTTTTTGATATCACATTTTGGCATAAAATTTGTGGATTTATAATACTTGACAAAAAGTCATGAAATCAAATTAAAATATACTAATATAAATGTTTTTATGGGAAAGTTACAATTTCATGTTTTTGGCGGAAAATTTCTGAAATCGGGTTTTGACGGAAGTTTTTTGAAATTATATTTTTAAGTAAGTTTTTGGCGGAATATTTACGGTTTCACTTATTTGGCGGGAAATTCATGAAATCAAAATTTTGACTTGTAGTTTTAGGAATCACATTTTTAATGTAAAGTTTTTGGCATTATTTTCTTATGGATTCATTTTTTCGCAGAAAATTCACAAAATCGAAATTTTGATAAAATATTTTTGGATCATATTTTTAATATGATTTTTTGGTGCGAAGGTTACCAATTTATGTTTTTCGCAGAAAATTTGCGAAATCGGTTTTTGATGGAAACTTTTGGAATTTTATTATTAAATAAGTTTTTAGCAAAATATTTACAAGTTCAAGTGTTTGTGTGAAATTTACGGATTCAGTTTTTTAGAAGAAGAATTTATTCACTTTTATTATTATCTTATTTTTTCCCGCTATAAATAAAAAACAAGAGTTTATAATTTATGTTAATATATTCTAATTATATAATGAGAATTACGAATCAGAAATAAGACGAAATATGACAGAGTGAGATTATAAAAACTATAAAAAGATGTAAAATATGAATAAAAATAAAAAATAAAGAATAAAAAAGAATAATTTTATTTTATTTTACAGGGTTTTAAAGTATTTAAAGTTTTATGTATACTTTATTTTCTTGCTATATACAATTTTTTAAATCTATTAAACTGTTTCTTTTACAAATTAAATTTTTTTATAAACATATTACTAAACCGATCAATCATTTATTTATTATAAATAATATATTATTATTAATTGATTTTTATTAAATTTCTTATGCCCGCACATATATGTGCGGGTTAACCATCTAGTATATATATATAAAGGGTTTGAATACTCTATATTTCATACTGAAATTTTTTAAATCTGTGAAGATTTTGTCTAATTAATTCTTTAAAAAAACTATAGTTTTACAATTCATTAATACCCATGTCTATAAGAGTCTCTGACATGTGGGGGAACAGCTTCTAGACGATGGCTCCAATAAAAGAAAGTTCGTATACTTGTTTCTTTAAATGCAGAGAACAATCATCCTTTGAAATGCTCATCCCACTTGTTATTGCATTTAAATGCAGCCTCTGTAAAGATTTAATTAGCGCGACTCAATGAAAACAAATCATTCCTCGATTTCTCTTTAGTTATATTAATAACTAAATGCAAAAGGATTTTTCCAAAAGAATTGTTTTTCTGTCAATTATCATATGGCATGTAAGCGACTTCGATGCAGAGCCGATCTTGGATTCAAACAGACTTAAGTATAGATTTGCGCTCTTTATTTGTATATAAAAATTTTGTAATGAAAATAGCAAATTTGAAAAAGAAACAAAATTTATAAAACAGCTCATTTATTCTCTATAGATTATGGTCTTATAATTTTTAAAAAAAATTCAGAATCGACTATGCTTCGATGATACAAATCTCCATGAGACATCTCACCCGTATTCGAAGGATTCACTATCTCATCATTTACTGTCCTTATTTCAGAATAATTTTTTTTATTACCTACAAAAACCAACCAAACAAATTAGTTCTATATCAATATCTTATATTTTTTTTTGAGAAAATACTCTAAAATAATTTAAAATAAAAAAATAATGTAAAATAGATACTTTATTAAAAGAAAATTATGAAAATAATCCTTATTTTATAGTTTTTTAAAATATTAGCATTATCTTTCTAACTATTTTAAGTTGTAGCCTAATAGCAGATTGAAT